TGGGTCCTCCGCGACAGCGGGCCGTTGCCGAAGCTGGTGAGGCTCTCTCTTCTTCCCGAAGGTCTGACGTTGCCATAGTAACGGTTGACCAAAATTTGCCTGAGCGCCTCACCCTGAATTCAAACAGGATAACGAAATCAGCTTCTGGATTTAATGCGTAACCGAGCGACTCACCGGCAAAACGCGCAGGGGGGCTGGGGTGAGATGGCGCGGTTTCGCTCGGCGAGCAGATAAATGATTAATGACAGCATTGGGCAACTCCGCGGCTAGCTCCTTCAGTCGTTTCTCGGGAAACCAGAGCGTAAAGAAAGGAGCAATCTAGAATATTCACTCTCTGAGCCCCCTCCCCCCCGTAAGAAACAGAACATGCATCTTGAAGGGCAGCGAGCGCTAACAAACATTAACCCAAAAGTCCCCTGGGGGTCAGCCAATCGGACACAATGGAAATATTGCAGGTCACCGTCCAGAGGATCTAACCCTGGGCCCAGGGCTCCCTCCCAAGACCCCGGGGAAACAGGACGGCGTCGAGTCAGAGTCTGATGGAATAACAGGCTGAACGCGAGCCTTTCTCACAGAACCCGTCCCTGGGCCAAGTGGTGACGGAAAGCTATGCAACAGGAAATAAATGAGTGGCCGACACCAGACGTCCGTCAAAAAGAAGCATCACGGAAGAGGTGACATCAAGGCGGGGGCGGGGGGCGCGAGCGGGGAGGGGTGTGACCAGAGTGGGCACGCGCCGAGCTGTCGGAGCTGATCGGAAAGAGGGTCTATCACTCCTCTGACGTCTTTCACACACACCGGACGTTCCCATAATAAAAAATCATTAATGTCAACAGCAAAGGACGCTGGGAGAGGGCTGCCGTAACCGTTCCCCAACGCCCCCTGAAAAACATGAAACTCGGGCGTGTCCTCTACTCCCAGGCGCTGCGACCAGCGCCATCTCGCTTAGCGACGCCAGACCGCCTCCCAGTCTGGAAGTTTCTAAAGGCCAAAGGCTGCACGGATGGATTGCCGAGACTCCTTCCAAGGACAGAGTGAGGGGTGGGGCGTCCCCTGGGGACCTCAGCGGGCGGCAGGTGGGGAGTCCAGCGGAGGGAGGGAGGTGCTGACACACAGCAGGTTGCTCCCAGCTCCACCAAGACCTGCAGCTGTAACCTGACTCAGCAGAACTTAAAGGATTTGCGAACAAGCTCCCAGAATAGGTCTGGAGGTGTTTGCAAAACGAGATGGGGGCGGGGTGAGGGTGGGGGGAGCTGACAGGAGAGGGGGTGCCCTGAGGGAGGTGGGCAGGCCAGGGGCCCTGGGTAAGGTCCCAGGGGCTTCTCCTTTGTCCCTGCAAGATGCTGGTCAAAGACTCCTGGACAATGGGAGGGGTGCCCAGGAGAGAAAGGGGGCGGGGGCGGGAAGGGGGCACGATTGCTTTTTAAATGAAAGTTCAGGGAATAAAAACAAGCCTGACTTTCCTCTCTCCCTTCCACCCACAGATGCCTCACTGTAGCCGCTTTCATGCGCTGACGAAACTCATTTCCTACCCAACCAACGGCAAATCCAAAGTTCCGAGCATGCTCCCCAGGGGAGGCCTTCGTGCCAGATCCCAGTCAGCACCTGCAGGGAGCACCCACCCCGTGGCCCGGCAACCCCTCTCCAGGAGCCTCGCCCACCTGGAGGTAACACTCACTCGGTCGTTCCCGTCACAGGGAACAATGAGAAGCCACATGAGAATTTGTGGACCTTGAGGCAGCTGCCAACTTTCTAAGACTCTCGGAGAAAACGCTCCGCTGGAGTATGACGTGCACAAAAGCAGGGCCCGAAAGCCGTGCAGGAATCACCCCGGAGATGGTGGGAGTGCGTGCCTGCTGGGCCCTGCACCCGGGCAGGGAGGACACAGCCCCTCGCGGCCCTCTGCAGCTGGGCGGGGCCACCAGGAACACGTCTGTCGCTATGATAAACTCTCCATAATGACCATCAGTTACTCATATAGAAAGGGATGTTCGGACTGCAGCCGTGTAGAAGCCGCCGCAGAAGGAGAGCGGACCTGGACAGCTGACAGGGTCCCTGTCGGGGGCTCGGGTGGGTGCAGGGGAGCCTGACATGGAAGTGGCTGTGATGGGGCCTGACCGAGTCCTGCTTCCACAACGCCCACCGGAAACGCGGCCTCTACGTCGCCGTGTGGCTGAGGGAGCCCCGGCCCCCAGGACCCCTACGTACCCGTTTATGGTCCTCCAGTTGCCTCAGGGGTGGACTCGGCTCGGCCTCCTGCTAAACACGCAGAAATCCCGTCTTAAGAGCAGGCGGGAGCCGCGGGTCTTGGGCATCGGCCCCCAGCCCCGGGCACCCGGGGGCTCACAGAGCCCAGATGCACACAGAGGACACTCTCCCCCGATGGACGTTAGCGCCCGGGCACGCGGGACAGCGCCTCGCCCGGCACCCACCCTGCCATGTGGAAAACGAGCGACACACGGATGTTTGGCCAACACTATTTTTTTGCAAAGCTGATGAAATGAAGTTCTACGTTATGTATCTGTGCATAACGCAAACGCAACCGGGCAGGTCCCGCGGCTCAGACATGCACCCGCGCATGGCGCATGCGTGAGGACATCCAGGAGACACGCCAGCAGACACGGACACGGAGCGTGGCTCTCCCCAGCCCACCAGCGCCCGCATTTTCATCGATGGCGAGCATGAGCCGATGAGACTACGAGACGCTGCTGGTTAGGAAGCAGCACATGGGGCGTCTCAGGTGGCCCCCCACTCCCGCTCTCACTTGGGGTTTCGGGAGGTTTCCTGGCAGCAGACTGGGAGCCTGGACCACATGCCCCCCAGGCTCCTCTGTGGCTCTGGGCGCCCTGAGCCCAGCCCCTCCCTTAGCGAGTGTGGTCGGCGCCAGGGCCGAGAGCACCTGAGACCCGGCTCTACGCGCAGCCCCTGCAGGCCCAGACTCGGGGTGCGCATCCTCCCTGCCCGGGACCCAGAGCCTGTTTCATGGCCGACAGGGCTGCGTCCCAGGTCCCGAGGGAGCAGGGAAGCCTGCAGTGCTGGGTGCGGGCCTTCAGGCCTCCCCTGTCCCTGCAGGGGCCTCGGGTGTAGCCCCAGCCCCTGGGACCTTTTCCTACCCCGAGAGCCACCCCAGTTCCCGGCCAGGCCACAGACTGCCCCCCCCCCCCCCACTCCCACTCCTGTCTGGACAGACACACACGTCTCCATGACAACGCAGACACTCAGGACAACAGAGGAGCCCCCACGCTGCCCGCCGCAGACACGGGGCAGGGAGGGGCGCACACACCTCTGTGGAGCTCTCGGGGTCCGGGGCCTGCGGCAGCTGGTCAGGGAGGAGAGAGCAGGTTAGTGAGGGCACGCGCCGGGCCACAGAGACACCGGGCCACAGAGACACCGGGCCACAGAGACACCGAGACGGACACTGAAGGGCACGCACAGCGGCAAGGTCACAGCGAGGGGCCTGTACCCACCAGGGGGCGCCATTGAGGGGAGACCCTCTCCCTGTTACAGGGACCGGATCCTGCTGCCCTGGGAGCCCCGGCCTGAGATCCTGAGACGGGGAAGCGTGTAAAACAGGGAAACAAAAAA